TTTGTTCCCATTAATACATTAATGCATTTGTCTGCATTAAACCTACTTGGTTTGAATAATTCCATCTTGTTCAGGATACCTTGGATCACTCAGTGGCTCACATGCTTCATCTTCATTTGTGATCCTGCTGAATTCAYCTTCAGTTCTCTACATGACAGCCATGATTTTCCATTTACTTTATTACATGGAATTAACTAAATACAGTCTTTAGAGAAGGATTACCTATTACCTGGTTTTCTATGTTCATTTATATTTGCTGTCTTTATTGAAGCACAGATGCAGGACAGATTTTTCATCAATACTGTTTTCTTCACATTTTTTGGATTATCTATTTAAAAAATCTCCTTTTAAAAAATTTTCAGCTTTCATTCTTTTTTCCATCAGTATTTTTGCTCACACTTTTGTTGATGCCCTGCCTCAGCTTTAGWAGCTTAGCACTTTTACACCATCATATTACTTCATTTTCTTTCTGTGTGGCAAGGATTGGGATCATCCTCTGTTCACACTGAATGCCATGGGGCTGTCTGGGCAACCACAGGCTGTTTGGGGCCATAAGCAAGCTCTGTATTAGACATGTCTGAAACACCAAGCCACTTCAGTGGTCCCGGAGAAGCATCCCCTCTCTGTTCCTGTTCAGCTCACTGGTGTATTACCAGTGTCTGGAGTAAGAGTTTTCACCCCAGCCAGATCCTGCTCCTGGCAGTGAGTTTAGCCTTTTACTCAGATTAATTATTCCCTGCCCTAGTTTCATCGCCCCCCCTCTCATGGTCGGCAGTTGCTCCTCCCCTCCTGGCCTCCACATACTTCAAATATTTGCAGCTGGTTTGTTTTGTCCTGAGTCACTGCTTGACTGTGCTGAGCTGCAGGCCTGGGGCTGGGCTTGCCTGGTGGCTGGGTGCAGCTCCACCAGAGATTCCCGGGATTGTCCCCGGCGCTGATGGAGGCACGTCCCTCTGTCCCTGTCCAGGCTGTTGGCACCTGCCAGGCTGCGCTGAACCAGGGGAATGCTGCCAGGTGAGCCCTGAGGAGGAGCAGCTGGGAGACCTTTGGGTGAGCCCTGCAGTGTGCTGGACATGCATCCCATTGGAGCTGCTCTTGGGGGTCAGCTCTGCTCCCAGAGACGGGCAGGGAAAACCTCTAATTGCATGTGTGCTCTCACTAGGAGGTTGGGCAATAACAATTCACAAAAAGTTTTYGTTAATTGGGAGAAAGTTGATGACAGTGGCATTTCTCAGACGAGCAGAATGAGCTGTGTGATTGTGATAGCAAATCACAGCCTCCCTGGGAAGGGCAGAGGTGGGAGTGTGCTCCACCTTCACACCTCATTGCCAGGGCTGGGTTATGAGCTGGTGTTGGATCTCTCATGAGTCAGCAGGGGGTACTAGCAAAGCTCAAAAACAGGTGCTTCTGGCAGGCTGTCTCAGAACATCAAACTGAGAAGAAACAGGAGAAYAAAATCCGAGTCTCTGAAAATTGTTATTGAGAGCATTGTTTTTGGAAATGTATTTCTGAATGCCTGTTTGGCAACTGTGTCATGGGTAAACACGAATTTGTCACTGGATTGGAATTTGGTGGCTTCATTAGGAATACCAGTTGTATTCCTGCAGGCCAACAGAGTTAATTCGAGCTGTGGTGTGTGTCTTAGTGCCTTCAAAGTTAATGGGCATGATGAATCAAATTGAAAGGTAGCATTTAAATAGAAAATTTGTAGGTGAAATGAAGATCTGTTTAAAAAATACTTACTAGATGACCAAAGCCCACAGCTGTGAAATTGGTGGGTTTAGTTAACTGCTTAATAAGCCTCATTTAGGGAAAGCTGCTATTAGACATACTAGAATGTGTGACAAACAGGAAAAAATAAATTGAAGACAATTAACAGAAATAGTATGAAATACAAAAAGTAAGAGTTTTTWAATGCATCAGAAACAAATACTAAGTATTATACATATCAGATATATTGGTCAAATATTAAAAATAAATTCTGTATTTGAATATTTTGAGCTGCGAGTGTTTGGAAAGAAGCAGGACAACTTTTGAATCCATTGCTAAAGGATGCTGAAGAACAASAGTCCTAAGAGACTTGACTGCAGTGTAGCCTTGTTTTTGAAGGAATCTTGAAATTTTSAGAAAGAGCAAGAAGGCCAGAAGAGAATTAATTTCTATGAGTTTTCAAAATAATTGAAATACTGATACGGTGTAAATGCGTAGAACTGGTGCTCAGCATTGTGCCAGGTTAACCAAGCTGAGCTGATGACTACTGTGCAGGGAAGGTTGTAATTTCCCTTCCATAGGCAGGGACTTGAGACTTGCCGAAGAAGAGTGTCATGGAGCTGGCAATCTCACAAGTGTGGGTTTGACTCCTCGCCACACGGCACTTTCTGTAAGGGCCTGACCTAGATTTACTTGCCTGGGGTTTGCTTGGTGGAGCGTGTGGAGCTGCTGCCTTTGCCAGCAGTGCTGGGCATCCCCTGCTCTGTTTTGGTGAGCTGGAGCCAAACACATGATGTGACTGCAGTTTGGCTATGGCTAAGCCTGGGAGCACAGCAGAGTGGTTTGGTGGTGCAGTAAACTCCTGAGGTGTCCTGTACAAAACTTAATGTGGTGGCTGGGGCCTATTCTTTGACCAAAGCAAATGTAATGTTTTCCATTTGTCTTCCCAAATGCTGCTGCCTGGGTCATTTCTGGCTGTGCTTTTGGCTTGTCTTCATTTTCAAGATTCTTCCCAGCCCACCCCACCCCATRCAGCAGTATCATCTCACCCGCCCACCCCCTCTGGGTTTCACACACCTGTTTGCATTGCAAATTAACACCTTCCTGTTTCTTCCAGGTTGCCTTCCCACTTGAGCTTGCTCTCCTGCAAAACAAATGCCATATTTTCTTTAAAGTAACTCATTTGTTGTTACTTCATTAACTCTCTGAGCCACAAAGACCTGCTGACTGTATTCTTTTGGTGTTTAGTTGTTCCTCCTGTGCATTTTTCTGTTCATACCCCATTCCGGCTCCAAGTGCTGTGTCTAGGAATATCCCTGTGGGTGTTTGTGGAGAACCTTGCACAGCAGGGCCCAGTCTGCTGCTGAGACTTTGCAGATGCTGTGGAAATGCAAAGAGCAAAGCCAGTTAAACCCAGCATCTGCTCCCAGGCCCTCYTTGCAGATTCCTGCTGTATTTGAGTTGATAAAGTTCATCATCAGGGTCTGGTGGAAAGCCAAGACAGGCTCTGATGGGGTTGGTCTTAAGGATACTTGCCAGAAGGAATCAGTGAAGCCTTCTCTTCCCAATGATTGCATACTAAAATACAGTGCTGGTTGTGTCACTGAATCCTCCTCTGTGGAGCTGATTGTTTTGCCTCCCCCCAGGCTAGATTTCAAGGCAGGGCAGCAGGATGCCGGCTTAGAGAGATGGGTATCTGCCCTTCCACATCCAGGGCATGTGAGAGCTTCAGCTGGGTTTCCTGTTTGCCAGGCTAACAGTGGGAATGATTTTGAAGTTGTTCTTTCTGCAGAGAGGCACAGTGGTTTGTCCTCAGCCCAGATAGCTGCAAGAAGTTGCTGTTTGGTGCTGATCTTTCTGGTCTCTGCTGCTGCTCTGCAGTGGGAAGGGCTGGCATGGTTTCAAATAATCATGGGCTGAGTCAGTGTCTCATCTCAGCTTGGGTGTCTTTTCTTTCTCGGGTTGTTTCAGTGTGAAGACCCCGGTCTGGGGGAGCAGTGGGCAGGATGCTTAGGCTGAGGCAGCAATTTCCCCATCCCGTGTTTCATGCTGCCATGCACGGTGCTGCCATCACCCCGCAGGGCATGGCTGGGGGCTGTCTGCAGCCTGCCCAGCACCTGGGCACACGCGGCTGGGAGCATGGGGGTCTCCTGGGTGCTGTGCTACCAGGATAAATCCCAAATCCTGCTGGATATCCCTGGGATTAAGCAGGGCTGAGCCCCTGTTGCCTGAGGCTGTCACTGGAGAGGTCGGGGAGTTGGAGATCTGGAAGTGCCTGTCCTGCAAAAACATTCCTAGAAATGTCTGAGCTGGAGCACGTCTGCAACTTTAAAAAAAATTCCATTGAGAGAGGGCAGCTGGGGCTGGGTGGCAGGCGGCACATGTGTCATGACATGACATTGAAATGSGGTATTTGACATAAAATGGGGTACCCGAGGCAGGCTGGGCGCCGCAAGGGGCTCCGTGCTGGCTTGAAATGGGGGAGACCCGAGCGTTCCTGGCCTGAGGGAGGGGTGAGAGAGGGGCTCTCCCGGCCGGGGAGGTGCAGGGTAACACGGTGGCGGCGGTTTCGGTCGGAGGGCACAGCTTTTAATCGCGGGCAGGTGGGGCCGAGAGCGGCKGGGCCCAGCAATCCGCGGGGGGATRAMATGGGCAATGGCAGCGGGAGGGGCTGCAGGTGGGACAGAAAACCAGGAGGAGAGCCGGCCGCGGGGACTGGACGGGGCCGACGAAAGCGGCCCGCAGCCCCGGGCCCTGCGGGTGGGRCGGCCCTGCCCGGCCCCGCTGGCTGCGATCCAGCTCCAGGCTTTGCCGGCGGCAGCACCGCTGCGGTGCCGGGGCCCTGCGCGGCCATTGAGATGGAAATGGGCCGGGGCTGAGAATGGGGACCCTGTTCCCAGCCTGAGGGAGAGGAGGGGAGGGGAGGGGCGGCCGCCATTGCCCGGCGGGGGCTTCCCTCCGTGTCTGCAGCTTCCCGGAGCCGGGGAGCGGGCTGGGAGAGGAGCCGGGCCCCGGCCGGCAGCAGGGCAGACCGTGTGGASCAGGTTTGTTGCCCGTCGCGCCCGTGCCGGGCTTTGCAGCGCTCCTGGTGCAGCGAGGGTGGGCTGTGGGAGCGGCCGGGTCTCCCTGCAGCCCTGGGGACAGTCCCTCTGGAAAGGCCCTTGGACAGACTTGGTCAGTAGTGTTGTTTCTCAGTCTCGTAGGTTACATGTGTTGCAGTTCAGGTGCTGTTTATCTCCTGCCCTTGCGCCTTTGCTGGAGCATGCTGATCTCGCTTTTCTGTTTTGCAGAGATGACTCTCCTGTCCTCCCAGACACCATCCCTGGAGCCGTCCTCGGCCACCACTGAGAGTGCAGAGCAAAGRATGCTGGAGAAGAGGGCCAAGGTTATTGAGGAACTGCTCCAGACAGAACGGGACTATATCAGAGACCTGGAGATGTGTGTGGAGAGGATCATGGTGCCCCTGCAGCAGGCACAGGTAGGAGCTGGGGAAGGAGGGGAAGCTGTGGTGCAGCACTGATGGATTGGGGTAAGGATATTGAGTCCGTTTAGTTCTCAAAGGTGACCAAACTGCACAGGAACCCATAGAGGAAATCTAAGTGATTCCAAGGGGAGGAGAGTGGTTCCTACAGCTCTCTGCACTTGTTGCAATAGCCCATCTGCTTTGAGATCCTGCTGCACTCTCATCCTTGCTGGGAGCAAGAGACCTGGCAGCAAGTATCACAGAYTGATTTCCTGGGGCATGAAAAGTTTCTCTTCATTTGGTTTATAGGTTAAATTCATTGAAAGGAGAAATAAAATATGGAATCCTAGTGTGGGGACAGATTTAGTGAGAGGAGGAAGAGAAAAACAGGTGAGCAGAGGCATGAATGGAATTGCTGGGAAAGAAGAGGATACTGTGGTAGGAAAAATAAGGAGTGAGAGTTTCAGTGCACTCAAGGACAAGGGAGTGTGTACACGAGTCACTCTGATGAGAGGAGGCCACACCAGGTGCCTGCTGTGAAGCTAGACTAATGGGTTGCAGGAGAGCAGTGGGTTGCTGTTGGGTCTGACTGGGATGTGTTCCCCATCCAGGACATCTCTTTTCYCATTCACTAGATGCAGAACATAGATTTTGAGGGCCTTTTTGGAAACATCCACATGGTAATTAACTTCTCCAAGCAGCTGCTGTCCACCTTGGAGGCTTCAGATGCTATTGGTATGAATTCTGTTGTTACCTTTTCTCGGTCTGGTGTGATGGGTGTTGCTAGTGGCAGAGCATAACAGTTTAAATGGTGGGAGAGGATTACTGGGACTGGTCCCTATTGCCACTCATCAGTCCAGGAGTGAAGCCAAGGAGATCTGTGTTGCCCGAGGGGTTACTGTGCTGAGAATCAGTGCCTGTAGYCCTCAGTGGCCCCTTGCCCCAAAGCACTGCCAGGCCCTGGGCTGCCTGTGCCTTTGCTCTGTGGCTCCAGAGACCAATGTCTCCACTCTCAGGAGACGTGGATTGGTTGAGCTCTCTGTGCTGGTGGCTGATGAGGGAGGGTCCTGCATGCTATAGTAGTGCTGTCTTCTTGACCTGTGTGTATAGAATGGAATTGGATGTCTGACCATGAGACTGTTTTTGGAGGCAACTGGGGTCCAGGAGACACTGAAGTCCTGCTTTGCTGCTGTCTGCAGGGCCAGTGTTCCTGACACAGCGTGCAGAGCTAGAGAGTGTCTACAGGGTGTACTGCCAGAACCATGATGAGGCCATCGCACTGCTGGAAACATACGAGAAGGATGAAAAGATGCAAAAACTACTTCTGGACCTACTGGATAGCCTCAGGTTTGAGCCTCTGGCWGTGGCAGCCCCCAAGATGGGACAGWGRGATCAGTTTCCARCATCCCCRCCCCTCTGTCAGCAGTGTTTGGACAKTTCAGGTGGTGACTGGAAAGGGTGYGACGGTGGCACTGCATAGTTGACCRGGCTCTGGGTTCAAATGGCACCCTGCCCCAGTGCACAGATGCTGGGAAACCTGTAGATCCCCTTAAAATCTGCATAGAAGCCACCAATGTATAGACGAGGTGGCATGTCTTCAGTTGAGGGCTTCTGTTCCCCAAACCCTGACCCACCATGGCTGCTGAGGAAGGAGCTGCTTTGCCTGGCTCAAAGGGTGCCAGGGCTCCAACTTGTGGGAGGTAAATGCCCCGGGAGCCGGCAGTGCCGACAGCTGCTGTGGGAGGACAGGGCTGCCCCCTTCTCTGGCAGCTTCACTGGCAGGGCACAGGCACTGGCTGTGACATTGCACACCTGCCACTCCATTAACCCTTGCTTTTCTTTGCTTTTTTGCACTCTGTGGGCCGGCAGGAGCCTGTACAGTGAGTGGTAAGTGCACCATTCCTCTTATTCCCTGYTTGTCTGTCTGTGTTGGTCTGGCATTCCCTTGTAACTAACCTCCTGTCACAGGCTGGGTGCATGCTGGGGGCTCTAACAGTGTTAGAGGCACAACTGGGAGGAGAGGGGTGTCTGTGGTGTGMTTGCAGCAGAAGCAGTGGGTGGGCTGCACAGGCAGGCAGCACMAGTGATGAGGTGAGGGGAGGTCTTGGGTAGAAAACAGGATTTGAGAGCCCAGAGCCWCAAGGAAGGCCCTGCAGGTCACTCCGTGCTGCACTGGAGGACAGATATGGGCAGCTGGAAAAGCATATGAAACAAGTGGCTCTCTGGCAAATGTGTGGCTCTGCTTTTGTGGGATTTTGAGGTAGGTCTGGTAATGGAGAGAATCATGGCTGGGAAGGATCACCTGGTGTGAGTGAAGGCCAGAAATCTGAGAGCACCAGGAGTTCAGGAGTGCAGTGAGTTTAGACATAAGGGTGGCATGACTTAGGGAGAACAGTGGATTTAGAGACATTGGAGTTCTGGGTCTGGTTGGCTGTGGTTTAAGGGGTGGAATTTGTGTGGCAGTGCTGGATTGACACCTGATACATCTCCTTTGTCCTGACTTTCCAGGGGTTGCACAAACTACATTAACCTGGGCTCCTTCCTCATCAAGCCAGTGCAGAGGGTGATGCGGTACCCACTGCTGCTGATGGAGCTGCTGAGTGCCACCCCCGAGGCTCACCCTGACAAGGCACCACTCACAGCTGCTGTCCTYGCAGTCAAAGAAATCAATGTCAACATCAATGAGTACAAGCGCCGGAAGGACCTGGGTGAGGAGCAGCTGGGCAGTTCTGGGCAGAAAGAGACAGGAGTGGGTGTGCTGAGGCTGGCATCTGCTGGCCACTGAGCCTTAGCTGGCAGCCACAGTCATGGAAGAAATCTCACTGCTCAGAGGAGTTTGGCCCCAACACTTTTGTAGCTGCCCTTCAAGTAGCTGCTAGTTGTGAGCAGATCCCCCTCTGCCYTTTCCTGTCTGGCTCACCTGGCTCCCCCAGATCTCCTTGTGGATCAGCAGCTGTGGTTCTCCCACATCTCATGGCCTTCAGGCACCCAAGTACCCAAGTGTAGCCTCCCTGGGACTGAACAGAAGTCCCTTTGATACCTGCTGTGATCTTTGATACCTCCCTGTTTTCCCTTGGAAGCCCCTGGTTCATGCAAATCTTACGCTTTWTTCTTTTGTCATAGCCCCACTGAAGCTGAGGTGACATAGGCTGCCTGCAATGACTGCTTGTATTTGCTAAAGCAGCAATATGAACACCTTCTGTGTGTGCAGTGATTATTGAATACCATCTCCTATATCATCTTATGCTGGCACTATGCATAATCCTGTGGAAGAGTTTGAAGGGTATCTCAAGAACCAAACAGGTGGCACAGTGCTGGATGGGAGATGGGAGGTTATGGTGCAGTATTTTACAAAGGCATGTCATGATAGGACTGGATAATGCTTTAAACTAAGAGAAAGCGGATTTAGAGTAAATATATGGAAAAAATCTTTACAGTAAGGGTGGTGAGGCACTGGATCAGGCTGCCTGCAGATGTTGTGGATGAAAGTGTCCAAGACCAGGTTGGACAGGGCTTTGAGCAACTTGGTCTAGTAGATGTCCCCGCCCATGGCAGGGGCATTAGAACTAGATTATTTTTAGGTGACTTCCAATCCAAGCCATTCTGTAATGATGTGTGGGATTTCTTGRGACCACAGAGGCTTGGGGAAGAGGAAAGCTGACAAGGTGATAGTTGATGAGGCAGTGTATGACATGGGTGTTTGTGCTAACAAGATTTTTGATTTCTATATCAATCTCTTTAGTGCTAAAATACAGGAAAGGRGATGAGGATAGCCTCATGGAGAAGATCTCCAAGCTCAACTTCCACTCTATCATCAAGAAATCCAACCGTGTGAGCAGCCATCTCAAGCATCTCACAGGCTTTGCACCCCAGGTACTGTGCATCAGGTGCACTTAGACCYTGCAGTGCTTCTCCAGAGGTATCTGCTGTCCCTCCACACCCYTTCCCACTGTGCAGCTCTGTTCCAGGCCAGCAAGGCAGAGTGAGYTTRGGGTCTGAACTGYCCATCTCTGCTGTCCAGCTTGTGGGCAGAAGGACCCCACATCGTGTACTCTGGGAGGTGCTGAGTCTTGCATCACCTCTCTTGAAACACTTTCTCTCACAGCTGAARGATGAAGCCTTTGAAGAGACAGAGAAAAACTTCCGGATGCAGGAGCGTCTGATCAAGTCCTTCATCCGGGACCTTTCCCTCTACCTGCAGCATGTCCGGGTGAGTCAGCCTGGGTGTGATGCCAAGCCCATGGGGCTCACCGTGCACTGCCYCTCCTGTCGGCACGGTGTGTCCCTGCAGTGCCCCTGGCCATCGCTCCTGCCTCAGCCCTGCTGGGGTCAGGTGGTCTGGGCTGCCCTGGGAGCCTCTTCTGGGCAGTGAGCATGGCTCAGCTGACTGTGTCTCCTTGGTGCAGGAGTCAGCTTGTATGAAGGCACTGGCAGCAGGGAGCATGTGGGACCTGTGYACAGAGAAGGGAAGTGGAGATTTGGACCAGTTCCAGAAAGTGAATCGKCTCATCAGTGACCAGCTCTTCTCCAGCTTTGTGAGTGATGCTGTGCTCTCGTGTGCTGGGCATGCCCCTTGGGGGTCTGCTGCAGATGGGCACACCCCAGGAGAGGTGTGAGCATTCCTACATAGCTCTGCCCTCGTGAGAGCATTGATACTTGGAAGTTTATGGATGTGCCTGTTAGATACACATTTTCTCAGCCCTGCCTGACATGCCGAAACTTTTTATGTGAGTGGTTCAGGCACTTCCCATAGTGTTACCCAGGYTGGCACAGTTTCCTAAGCTTACAGAGTAATTGCTGTTGGAAGGAACCTCTGGAGCTCCAGCGGGTGCCATCAGGAGAGTGACTGTACTGTCCTGGGGAGGTTATCTGCTGGCATTCACAGTGGGAGAGAGCACCTTGTCTCACCTTCTCACTGCACTTCTGCCCACCAGAAAGAGCGGACGGAGCGGCTGGTGAGCTCACCCCTGAGCCAGCTGCTGAGCATGTTTGCGGGGCCCCACAAGCTGGTGCAGAAACGCTTTGACAARCTCCTCGATTTCCACAACTGCACCGAGCGAGCGGAGAAGCTGAAGGACAAGCGAACGCTGGAGGAGCTGCAGTCAGCCCGCAACAACTACGAGGCCCTCAATGCCCAGCTGCTGGATGAGCTGCCCAAGTTCCTGCGCTTCGCCAAGGAGCTGTTTGCCAGCTGYGTGCGCGGCTATGCCGAGGCACACTGCGACTTCGTGCGCCTGGCCCTGGAGGAGCTCAGACCCCTGCTGTCGGTGAGTTCCTGCAGTGCAGGAAGCGCCCTGGGCTCAGTGCAGCACTGATCTGTGCAGGGTTTGTCTCTGAGCCACACTGGGAGCTGTCTCATCGTGGGGGAAGCTGCCACTGCAGTTTCAGGCCACAGGTGACCTGTGGAGGGCTCCTGTGGGATACTGTGAGTGAAGGGAGTTCAGGATTACAATGCAATTGTGTGTACATGTGGTGAAGGCTCTGGCTGCTCCTGGAGCAGTGGCAAGAGGGAATTTGCCTGGGAAAACCTCAGGTCACAAGTTTGAGGACCATWTAGAGCTCAGTCCAGACAGGATTGCAAAGGTCTGATGGACCCCTACCACGATCTCTCCTTTAGCTCTTGGCTGTTTCTCCCRGCTGTCACCTAACCAGGATCCCCGATTCTGCTCTGGTTTCAGTCGCTGAAGGTGTCTGGCAGGGAGGGGAACCTCATTGCCGTCTTCCAGGATGAGCACAGTCGAGTCCTCCAGCAGCTCCAGGCCTTTACCTTCTTCCCAGAGTCCCAGGCAGCTCCCAAGAAGACTTTTGAAAGGAAGAGCATGGAACGGCAGTCTGCCCGGCGGCAGCCCCTTGTTGGCTTGGTGAGTTCCCTCTGCCCRGTGTCAGGGCTTGCAGAGCCCAGGACAGCCACTCACCTGCCTTGTTCCTCTGCAGCCAACCTACCTCCTGCAGTCRGATGATGTCCGAGCCGCCCTCCTGGCCCGCTATCCCCCAGAGAGTCTGTTCCAGGCAGAACGCAATTTCAATGCTGCCCAAGACCTGGATGTCTCYCTGTTGGAAGGAGACATTGTGGGTGTCATCAAGAAGAAGGACCCCATGGGYAGCCAGAATCGCTGGCTCATAGACAATGGGGGTAGGTGGCTTTCCTTGCCCTTGGTGCCTGCTGTGGGTCCCCTCCTCTGGTGTCCCTGTGCCCCAGTCTGAGCTGCCTTCCTCTCCCTCTGCAGTGACGAAAGGCTTCGTGTACAGCTCCTTTCTGAAGCCCTACAACCCCCGCCGCAGCCAGTCAGATGTCTCCGTGGGCAGCCACTCTTCCAACGAGTCGGAGCACAGCAGCTCCTCTCCCCAGAGCAATGCCACCCTGAGCTTCAGCCCCAGTGGGGCAGCCGTCACCTTCACTCAGAAACCCCTGCAGGACTCTGCCTCCCCGGCAGATGTGTACCAGTCCTCACAGCCCCCACTGGAGGTGGACTCCCCCTCTCTGCCCCAGCTTGGCTCTGGTGACAGGACAGCTCCACTGGCTGGTACAGTGACACCTCAGCGCCGCTACAGTCGCCCCGAGCTGGGCTGCAGCCCCAGCTCTCGCAACGGGCACCTCACCAAAGCACATCTCAGGCCCACACCCTCGGTGGAGGACAGAGACTCYGGGCTGGAGAACAGCGAGTCAGAGGGCAACCAGGTGAGTTCTCAGCCACCCTTGTGGGGGTGGGAACGCCAAGGGCTTSACTGGGGACTGAATCATCTTCCTCYCTGGCAGTGCCCAGGAAGATGTGGGTGGTAGACTATGAGACCTTTTATTCCAGCAACAGAGGTGCAGAGATAGGCTGYAAATGGGGGTGGGCAGAGACCAGGATGGGGCTAGGACTTTCACTGTTTGGGGAGAAGGACAAAAACCCACACATCCTATGCAGTGTGGCAGCAAGGCTGTGTGGTGTGACCATCCAACTGACTCTCTGTCCCTGTCTGGCAGGTCTACTATGCTCTCTACACCTTCAAAGGCCGAAACACCAATGAGCTGAGCGTGTCAGCTAACCAGAGACTCAGGATCCTGCAGTTTGAGGACATCACAGGCAATCAGGAGTGGTGGCTGGCTGAGGCCCATGGGAAGCAGGGCTACGTGCCCTCAAGTTACATCCGGAAGACAGAGTACACGTGAGGCAACAGACAGGAGCCTGCACCCCATGCCTTGTTCCTGCTGGAACTGCTAGAGGTCTGGGGGAAGCTGGCCAGCCCTGCAGACCCCACTGCTCACCCTGAGGCTGTGCCTCTCACAGCTATGCAGTGCTCCTGGGCCCCAAGACACTGGCTGCCATCACCCCTCCAGGGGAGGAAGAAGGATGGGCTGGCCAGGTAGGCAGGAGCAGGCAGCTTGTGTGAGGCAGGGATGATTTGACCTRTGCTGTTTGAGCCTCCTGTGTCCAGCCAGGAGCAGGGGAGCAAAGCTTGGGGCTGTGGCCTGCCCCAGGAGGGTAAGGCTTGACTRAGRCTGAGGAGCTGCTGTGGATTTCAATTGTGGAAGGCTAATGCCAAGTTTCTGGAGATTGGCTGTAGTCAAGTAGTATTAAAAGCAGCCCAGACCTTGTGGATGTGCTCCCTGTGCAGCAGGAGCCTGGTCTCACCTGTGTGTGCAGGACCCAGGGTGGGACGCTTACACACTGGCTGGGGCAGCAGCTCTGAGGTTGCCTGGGAATAGTTGAGCTCCAGGCCTGGGATGGGTGTGGCCTCTGAAACCCTCACAACAAAGCCCCCAGCAGGTGCCTTCTCCCTATGCTTGGTCTCCCAGGGGCTTGGCCTCTCCRAGCTCTGCCTGCAGCCATCAGGTTCTCATCTTTCAGGTGAGCCAGAAGCCCAGAACACCCAACCCTTGGCAGTGGAGTATTGGCTGTGCCCACGCCCCATCTTTGCACTGACGTAGCCAGCTGGCTGCTCTGAGCTGGGGCAGGGCAGAAGGCAAAGCACCAGTGTTCCTTGAGCCTGGAGTTTTTGGGACTCTGACCAGAATTGCCTCACTCGTGCTTTCTTGTACAGCACTGGGAGAGGGTGCTGACATTCTGAAACGGCAGGACCATCYCTGGGAGGGGTGTGATGCCTTTTGCTGGGTTGGTGTGTGATACTGCTGCTGCCATGTCCTGAAGGGAAGAAGTTCCTTCATGGGGCAATGTTTGTACCCCAAGTACTGCTGCTCTGTAAATAAAGATTTGCCTTTGTGTATAGAAGTTGCCTTTGCAAGTATTGGGAGAGCTTGGAAGAGTGTCTGGCCAATGCTGGGCTGGGGGCAAAGCCCAGAGATTTCATGCAGATGGTGCAAGGCCAGGGAACACATTTCCCTTTTGCTGAGGTTCAGCATGATGCTGCCTTGGTGTTTGTGCCAGCTGCAGCTCAGGCACGAGGAAACTCTCACAGGAGCCTTCATTAAGATGAAGTGGTTGCACTGCCCTCTTCCCGCAGCTGTGTGTTACATGACAGCTGGGGCTCCGGGCAGTAGGGGCTGGTGGAGTGAGGGTGTGTGTGGGCACCTGCTCCTTGCATGCCAACAGCTGAGGTCGGCACTACAGCTCTTGGCTTCAGGCCCAAGAACAGAGAGGAGTCAAGAGTSTGTCAGCAGTAACCACCATACTTGGTGTGTGCATGGCTGTAGCACGGATGTGTGCCTGCTGCTCTCCAGCTTGTCTGCACCACAATCGGATTTSCAGTCTGGAGCCACAGGCCAAAATCTGCCCCACAAGTGGTTATGATAGCCTCAGGGAGGGGCTCATTTATTTGCACACAATCAAAGGGAGCAGTAGCCACAGGGAAGGCAGGCAGCCAGCCCTGGTTTTGCTACAGCCTAGTGTTCTTCCCTGAAGTAGAGCTGTGCTACTCAATTTGGACTGTCCCAGCTCTGTGAAACCTCTGYTGGCAGCTTTCTCCACCAAAGCACGAGCCAGGTGGAAAGGTAAACTGAGGCTTACTTAGCATGCCTTGACATCAACCTTGAAGTTGGAAGACTACAAAGTTACAAAARTTAAATAAATTATAACCTTTATTCTTAGATTAAATTGTGAATTTCATTCCATAGTGCTAAAGCATCTCGAAGGTAATTTCACCTGGCATGGTGAAGTACAAAAACTAAGACCACCTCCAATGGAGGTCATGATCTCCCTGCCTGGCAGATAGCTTTTCCCTTCTATACTGGAATAAATTACAGAGCTCCAGATCCTTGTGTGCACAGCAGGCAGGATATGGTAGCGAGGTTAACAGCTCACTCGAGTCCAGATTTCCTGTCTCTGGACAACCAGAGAAACCACCCTCTCTGCTTCCCAGCTGCAGAGAGGCAAATGCCTGGGCAACTTTGCTGTGGGAGACAGCAGCCCCCGCTGGGTGAGTGGTGCAGGAGGGAGCTGCCTCACACCCCCGGCCCCTGCAGCACTCTGCCTACAGGACAGTGATTTCTGTAGTGGTGATGCCGGCGTCCTTCGCCATCGAGGAGAAGATGCCCTGTTTCAAAAGCAGCTCCTCAGGACTGTCGAATTCCACGATCTGCCCAGCCTGCAGCACCATTACCCTGGCAAAAAGGAACAAGAAGGCTTGAACTCCCAGGATCTGAGTGGGCAGAGCTGCTGGTGCCAGCACTGCAGGCCCACYGACCCTCACTCCTGAGCCACTTCATGTGGTTCACCTCTCAGCAGTGGTGAGGACACAGCCCTCCTCCCTGTGCTGGCAGGGTCACACACATAAGGTGTCAACAGCAAATGCCTCTGTGATCTGTTGCTGTAAAGTAGCATCCTTYCTATCCTTCTCTTCATTACTGTATTTTACTGCCCCAGGCACTGCACCCACCCCTGCCCCTCTGGCTGCATTCTTGATTCCACCGCTGTCCACCTCTCGCCCCATCCCAGSAGTCCAGATCCCCATTCCCTTTGCCCCAGCTGTCCCATGGTACCTGTTGCTGTCCATGATGGTGTGGAGGCGATGGGCGATAGTAAGGACAGTGCAGTCAGCAAACTCGCTGCGGATTGTTGTCTGGATTAAATGATCCGTTTCCAGATCTACAGCTGCTGTTGCTTCATCCAGGATGAGGATCTTGGCTTTGCGGAGAAGGGCCCGGGCCAGGCACACCAGCTGCCTCTGCCCRACACTGGGGTGAGATGAAGAGCATGAGTTACTAGACAGACACTAGCATGGCTTCTGCAAGCCTCCTCCTCTCCCTGCTCTGACCCCAGCACTGTCCCTGGCGTTTCCCTGCTGACCCTGAGCACCGTGTCCCTCAGCATCTTGCTCTCTGGGCCACCAAAGAAGGGTTGGCTCACACTAGCTCTTACTAGCTCCCTAAGAGCCCTGACTCCTYGGCCATTTTCTCCCGTCTTCACTTCCCAGAATCTTCTGTGCCTTCATCCCTGGAGAGCCACTTTGCTGGAGGCTGCTGTTCCAGGCTGATCCCTGGGACCAAGAGAAAGGAGCTGGGTGTGCATCTGCTGCTCTGCTCACCTCAGRTTCTCTCCTCCCTCGCTCACGAGGTGCAGCAGCCCCTCAGGAAGGCCTTGCACGTATGTCTTCAGGTGAGCCAGCTCCAGGGCCTTCCAGACCTCCTCATCTGAGTACTGGTCAAAGGGGTCCAGGTTCATGCGCAGGGTTCCAGTAAAGAGCACRGGGTCCTGCCAGGGACAGGGCCATGTTCAGCCACCACAGCCGGGTGTGGTGTGGGGCAGGGGCAGTGGCTCCAGGCCTCCGTGTGTGGTCATCCTGCCCCATGGCACTGCCTGCAGCTGGCAGGGGAGGTGGTGACAGCCTGCTCACAGGACTCTGGTGTGTCCACAGCACCCGGGCAGCCACTGAGGCCATGCACTGCCTGCRGGGGCCATGCAGCAGGGGGATGTGGAAAGGTGGGGATCAGCTCACCTGGGGGATGATGGTGAGGCTCTTGCGCAGGTCGTGGAGGCCAATGGTTGCTATGTCCACACCATCAATGATGATCTTCCCTCCAGCCGCCTCCAGCACCCGGAACAGGCAGTTGGTGAGGGAGGATTTTCCAGCCCCGGTCCGGCCCACAACCCCGACCTGTGGAGGCAGCTTTTTAGATGAGCTGACAGAGCTGAAGGAAACAGGACAGATGCTCTCCATCTTGGTCTGATGGGCCTTCCTGCCCTGAGCATCACCCAGACTCTCTGCTTTGGTCCCTTTCCTACATCTTGGGTGCCCAGGAAACATACCCCATCACCATCCCACCCCAGTGCACAGACCGAAGCCGAGAAGAAGAACCAACTTTGTTAACAGKGTCTGTGTAAAGAGTGTAGTGAGGGCAGAGGCACCTTCTCAGTGCTCCCAATATTGCAGGTGATCCCGTGGAGAACCAGGTCCAGCTCAGGTCGGTAACGAACTTTGTAGTCAACGAACTGGATCTCGCCTTTGCTGGGCCAGCCACGYGGTGGGCGCGTTTTTGTCACCCAAGGAGCCTGGGGAGGGCACAGGAGCATTAGGGGGGTTCACTCTGCAGTGCTGACTAGCACGGAGCTGTGCAGCAGGTGTTTGCCTGGAGCCTGTTCCTCACCTCATTCTTCACCTTCGTGTACTCATGGACGCGCTCCACAGCCACAATGTTGGTCTCCAGCTCCGAGGATGTCCGCACCAGCCAGTTCAGTGTCTGGGTCACCTGCACGGCAGAACCGGAGAATGCAGAGCTCAGTGGCGCCCAGGAACAACCACCTCCCACCCTGGGACTCATCCTGAGAACAAGCAGCCCTGGCCTAGCCCCTAAGACTCCATTGCCAAGACACCCCACCTCTYTCCAGCCCTTCAAAAGCTTTTCTGCAGCATCTCTGATCCACAGAAGGACCGTATTCCTCCCTAGGGCAGCAAACATCCCACCCACACTGGAATGGATATGTGCTTCCCTGGCCCTACAGCCACTCCCCAGGTGATGGGACATCCCAGATAATCCCTTTTCCATGGATCAGAACTGGTACMAGGGCAGCATCCTGCAGCCAGCCCAGAGCTCTCAGAGACAACCCTGTCCTGGAATGAGAAAATGCTTTCGTTGACTCACATTGAGAGCGGAGGAGACGGAGAGACCCACGATGCCGCCCTCCAAAGTGCCCTTTGAAATCACGGCTAGCAGTGCAGAGAAGAAGACCACCAGGCTCCCAACAAACTCCARACGGATGGCCAGCCACCTGCACCAGGAGAGGACAGCTGAAGGGCAGTGAGAGAGGCAGGGAGGCATCTGCCTGTGCCCAGCCCAGAGCCCACCAGGAACAGCAGCACMGCACCAGCATCCCTCACACCCAGCCATGAGCTCGGTCCTGTACACAAGCACACACTGGGGCATGTACACAGCAGGTCACTTGTGGCAATTCTGCCAGCAGGTTCATTGACATCAGTCCATGTCTCACACGTAACCATGTGCTGGAAATGCCATATATCACAAGAGCCCCAACCCTCACACACACACATCATTTACCAGTAAGGTTCAAAACCAGAGAGTGCCTATATGGCAGTCCTACCAGGCCTGGAGCATCACCCTCCTCCCAGAACTCACCAAGAGTATCTCAGACCTTGCCTGCACAGCTCACCCTGCCCAGGCTCTGGACACTTTGTAYGGGGACATATTCCAGCTTTCAAAATCACCCTAAAATGTCTCATTGCCACAGATGGTGCCCCTATCCTAAAMTCCCTTAGTACCTACACAGACCCTCAATGCTGAGATCAACAACAAGGATTRTTCAGGAACCTCCCTCAGGACCCAGAAGCCCCTGGGCAGAGGTGCTGCAGGCTGTGCTGAGCATAAGGAGTAAAACTCACCTGTTTGAGATTATCCAGGAATAAACACTTTTCTGATTTATGTCCATGGTGGTCTCATTCTGCTTCAGGAACCGTTCTTGGTGTCCATAGGCCCGGATCACGGAAAGGCCTGACACTGTCTCACCAAAATGGGAGTAGATGGGAGACCTGGTGACAGAGTCCAGACGCCTCAGCTGGCGTGACGTGGAGACATAGAAGCGCTGAAACRAGGGACACAGCTTGGTTACCAACACAAGGTACTGCTCTCAGCAGGGCAGGAGCTTCACTCAGGGCCCAGTTACTCACCAGCACAAAATAATAGAAGACACTCAAGGGAATGATAACGAGAGCAAAGAATGGAGTGGCCAGGCAGATCACAAGCAGGGTGCTAATGATGGCCATGAAACAGTTGAGCCAGCTGCGGAAGGACATGGGAATGGTCTCATCTACCGTGAAGATGTCCTGGAGCATACAAAATAGTACAGAGAACCAGTCAGTGACCCCAGAGAGAATGAGATGCCAAAGATCCCATACATACAGGGTTCCTACACTCATATGATAACAGTGCCAGACACTTGTAAAAATACTGGATGACCCTGAATTGGTGTTATAGTCGCAACACATTTAGGGCCACAATTCTTAGCTTGAGAACAGCTGAGTTAACAGAGAAACTTTGTATGATATTCCCCTGTTACACAGAYCAGCTTTAAGGACTGCATCTTCATCAGGAACTAG